GTTGAAGTCGTTAGCGCAAAGTCTTGTTCTATCCAAGCTTAACTTCAGTGACAGCGGGTGCAGAACGCTGCTGTGGGGTTTGTCCTGAACCGTTTTTGTAAAGAGAGTGACGTAATGAGACTCGGCTGGCTACCAACGTTAGAGAATACTGAGCTCAACATTCTCAAGCTTGCGCACCGAGGCCTGTACAGTAGTTCGTGGTCTCAAAAACTTAAAGTAATTAGACACTTTACGCAGAGACACCTACGATCAAGTAATGCTTCCCTCCTCAAAATCTCACTTGTGAAGGGAACATTCCAAGACCCGGCGGCTGACCTCTTCAATAAGCTGCCTGTACATTTAAGACTTTGTTTAGATTTTAATATACTCAAGAGAGAATGCTCTCGCATTTTAAGAACTAAAGCTTCGATTCGCATTAGTAGTGATTAGAAACTAGAATCTAGTTATTGTACATACATTTTATCCAGTTGATTTATTTGTTTATAATGTTGGTTTATATTTAGTTAGTTATTATTATTTTTTTTATCTTTTATCTTCTTATGCAGATGTAAAGTAACTCTGTAGATAAACTGCAATAAACCGTTATTATTATTTTATTATTATTATTATTATTATTATTACTATTCTTGGTGTTAAAATATAACAGTATCGATAAAAGAGGAGAGCAAGCTTGCTTCATACAAAACTGAAGAATGTAAATGCTTTCTTATTAGATGTGACCTACGTCCCAGAGGACTCTTGACCTCAGAGCCCACTCCACGGCAGAACGTAACCTGTGGAGACGTCAATGAACGTCTATGGTCTGGGGTAATTATGAAATCTTCCTGTGGCCTATCGGGGAATCCAGTTGGCAAGGATTGCAAGGCTGCTGAAAAGTTGAATATGACGGTACAGAGCGAACTACCCGTCGTTGGATGGAAACATAATGTTACATACAGGAACATTGCTTGTGCCAGATGTAGCAGTGAAGAGAACGTGGCTTTCTGGGATCTCCAAATAAAATGCGAAGGCGAGAAATTAAATTCCAGTGTCTCGGACATCAATGAAGTTCGGACGTTCGTCTTGGAAAAAGGAAATAGGTGTTCATGGAAATACGAGACATCTTCTTACCAAGAGCGACACTGTGTATTGCACGATATTGTATGCGCAGCTAATAAACAACCCTGGATGTCTGTAATAAAAGAACTTTGCTCTTCATATTCCATGCCCTTT